TTTGGTCAGGCGTTTATAGGTAAATTTTTATAATTATGGTTGCCTTTTCAATATGATATTTTTGATTCGGAGTTTCTCCTAGTCATTCAACGTAAAACTTTTTTAAGTTTCTTGAATATGTCAAGGGTTGGTATTTAAATTTACTTTTTAATGAAAAATGCCGTCAAGAAGTGGTGGAGAAACAACAACATGTAACTTCAGAATATAAAGTGCTTGACGGGACAAAAAAGCAACTCAGCTTTTAAAACTTTTAGAAGGTTACAGGTGTAGAATACTTTTGTAACATAAAGCTTCTTTAATGAACGTAAAAGATTGCGAAGTTTGGACCGAAGTTTAGTAGATTAACTTTCCTGCGTATTGGTTTGGATAAGCCGGTACTGTCCTCTAAAATCAGGTGTGATAAGTTAGTAGTAGAAAATTAGTGGTTCAGTAATACCTTAAATTAAATTAAAAACTTGATTTAAATAGATGTCACCTTAAGCTATTGTTTAAAACAATGTTTATTGCAAATAGTATTTTATTAAAAACTTCGAAAAGGGAGAGCAAGATTTTTATTATTTTTTAATATAATTTGATCTAATCCTACACTTACAGCGACGAGGGGTTTTTAATTTCCTGAAATTTGCAAGAAAAAAAAAAGACGACGAAGGTATGACTATGTAGTTAGAAGCTACTTGAATTTGGATACTCAGAAGTTGTGTTTTCTATGCTTCCGTTATTCTCAGTGATTTCCAAATTGAGATGCCAGCTATGTCAGAGGTAGTGTTTTAAACTATTTGTTTTCCTTTTTAGTGTACATAGCCTTCAGGGACGTTGAAAAAAAAGCACTTATTTATTTATAATGAGATGAAATTACAATAAAAGCAAACATCTTTTTCGCTTGGTTTTTAATGGTTTCTAATAAATTACTATTTGCTAGTCAACTCTTTTTGTGCAAAAATTATTTTATTTTCAACACTTGTTTGTTTTGGAAGCATCTCAAGGGTAAAAGCAATCTGATCATTATACTTTAAATTCTAACAGCTATAAGGATTAAGTTTAAATTTGAAGTTTAATAAATTATTTAAGTTAGTAAATTAAATTTTAAATAGTCTATTTTAGAGCTTGTCAAATGCGTGTCTTTTTTATCATTGTTATTTTACGTTTCGTATCCAAAAAGTTTTAATTCGTTTAAAATATTTTGCAAAAAGTTTTTGGATCGTGTTGTTCGGACTTAAACTTCCTGCTTTATCTGCCGAAGAAGCCTTGTTACGGCTTTATTTTGTATTTGTGTTTATGTAGAACTCTTTAATCTTACTTCATATATTCTATTGAAGGCATTCTGTTTTTAGAATTTGCAATTTATTATGATTTTTTGTTGTTTGTTACTCATGTTTTTCAAGGTTATCTGTGTTTCAAGATACGTTGTTTTGTTTGCCTTTCTTTGTTTTTGATTGTTTTGCAATTTTTGAATGTCTGTGATATGAAAGTTTGCCATCGTTTTCTTAATTTCTTCAAATTGTTCCTGTTGTTCTTTAATTAGTAAACCTTCAATAATTGAAACAGATTTTGTTGCTAAGGGGAAAAACATAAAGACAGGCATGAAAAGGTTTTAGGTATTGATGGTTAGGCTGTGGTTAGTGGTAATAGCAAAACTATGTACCCTTGTGATAAACGCCTAAAAACGGTTTCTGAGGTCATGGTTCTGCAGGTGTTGTAGAGGTGAGTTCAGCGAGTCCTTGAAGTGAAAAACAGGTGTTTTTGACTGATAAACAAGACTAATTTGTTGGTGTTTATGAGACTGACAGAATATCTACCAAGGTTCTGCTTGCTTTAGTAGCCCGTTCGCACTGCTAATGAAAACGATGAGAATAGTGGAATTAATTCCTTAGAATGGTTTGAACGTTTTAGGATTTCTGCAAACGTTTTCTGCGTCTTTACAGGTGATGGCTTTTATCGGCAGCAGTCTGTCAATTATGACATTTCTGATAACATTACTTGAAAGAAAGCATGTTTTAGACAGGAACAGTAAAATTTGTTGGTCTTGTTTCAGTGATTTCAAAAATTCTTATGGAGGAGCAAATAATATTATAAAAAATTTGGTTGTACATGTAGCAGCAAAAAAAAACTTCGTGGCATATTTTCATCTGCAATTTGCGCAAATAGTTTTCTTTTTTTTGGACAAGAAATGAATTCATAATGTTTGCTACAGTTTTTTTATCACCGTCAAAACCAAGAAGTATGCCATTTAGACATTAGCTGCCGCTATCATATATTTACATTTATGGCTTACAGTTTTGGACAATTTTGAGCAGTCACTTTTAAGCGTTCTGTTTTTTCTTCTGTTTGTTCTATTCAATTTATAAAATCCAGCAAATGACTTGGGAACTATTTGTTTGTTTTTTATAAGCAACTCTTAGATGACAGTTAAAGTGTAGTTTCTGCGTACAATACGGTGCTCAATGA